GATATAGAATAGAGAGAGAGACAGAGAGACTGCTAGTGGAGCAGAGATTAATCAACTTGAATGGGAATCGTGGATATTTAATATTTGATGATTGATTTACTTAAGGTGCCGAATGGTCACTAAAGATTGAATCCTGATTAAATGGCTTAGAAGTCAAAGTTATCACCTTGAGTATGTGTGTTTAGTAATAAAGTTTTTTCATACCTCGCGTACCTGGTTAATTGTGTGCATTGTAATTAGTTGGGTGCATCTCTTAGACTGGATCGTTTGAATTTGAGTTGTGATGAATGGATTTAAATAAATTAATGAACTGTAAATTTAACAAATTTTAATAAGAAAAACGAATCCCAACCGTATGGGATCACTGCACTTTTCGAACTGATTACAAAAAGGTTGAAACAGTTGGCTCGGAGATAAATCTATACAAAGAAATTCTCGCCAACTGGCGCCAACAATTAATCTTGTGAATGAATTAGATTGTTTTGTGGAAATAGGGCTAGTGTTTCTTCCAATATTCCCACACCTTTAGACGTTCAGGCAAGAACATTACAAATTGAATAAGGATTTGAAGACCAATGGCTGAAACAACACCGGTTATTAGTTCGTGACAGTGACCACTGGCCGGAAGCGACCTCCCTTTTCTCCCTCCTCCGCTTCAACTGATATGCGAAGTATTGATAGAGTATAGTTTCTACAATCATCGTAATTTTCATCTTTAATCTCTAAAGATGAAAATTACATGTAAAACATAAGCTCTTCATAAAACAATCGCCCTTATTGACTTGCATCACAATCATCTGATAAACATCACAACCGTTTGTTGTAAGATTATATCTGTAAAATTATTTTTTTAAAGGAATATATTCAATGTATAGACATATTCTCAGGGTCAAGGTTTCTCAGCTATATTTCTTTTTATACGCACTCAATGATAAAACAAGTTTTGGCGTTTCACAACAAGAATTTTTGTTTTTTGTTTTTTGAAAGAAGCCTGTTTAGGCTATTTTAAGATATTTATTTTCTTGATTTAAACACAGAAGTATTTCTTTGCATTGCGACATCCATATTTCAGTAATCCGAGGAAGAATGCGAAAATTTTTCCAGGAAATAGAAAGCGCGATATATTTTTAATTCTTCCTAAACAAATGACGGGGGTCTCCCGATACAATCCTGTGCTTCTCTTACGAAATCTGTTATGTGTAATGCTAAAGGTTATTGAACTATTGTAACGCATCATTTGTTTGATAGGATATGAGCACCGTGAGAGCATTTCCTCAAAAATATCAAATAGAGTATTAGATGCTTATTGTTGCGTAACATTACAAATATTGGTCCATTTCGAGGCAATTCATTTTGAACAATGAATATATGTTGGAGATATTTTCAGCAGATTTTTATTCACTCCATAAAATCCTTATAAGAGGAGATGGGAATATAAGTGCTTCTAAATTTATAAAAAGAAATTTTATTAGAAAAGTATGTAATCTAGAGTAAAAGAGAGTAAAAGTCCGTTATTCACAAAAGTAATCGTAAGTTATCAATCATTTAATGTCCTTTTTTTATAAAAATATTCTTATATTTTTCCTATAGTTCTTTTTTTTTTATTAGATTAATTTTTTGTGCTCAAAATTATCTTTGAACGACGGTAATTTTATTAGAAAATGACAATAATCTAAATTATTTTTTTATTGTATAACCAAAAATGTCAAAAGCAGAATTTTTTATTTTATGGATTATTTCAATAATTTCACGGCTAAAACTTTTCAATTTCTAAATTTTTTCAAATAAGTTCGTTTTTGAATTGCCCTGCCAAATTCAATCATTTTATCTCCTCAAGAAGAATTAAATTCAAAATTTCTTGAAACGAATTCTTTATTTTTGGCTTAAGAGAGCTCAGTACCCAGTGGCTTAGCTACCAATGGGCTAAGCGGTGCTTTGCACCGTGGCCCTCAAGCTCAAGGGGGTCCTTCGGACCCTGACTACCAAGCAAGCCAGTTTGCGATAATTTCACCCAAATTTAAGATAAATTATAAAAGGTTGCAAAACATAACTATAATAATGTTGTAAGCTTTTTCGAATTTGTAGGGAATTACTTTAAATTTTTTTCGTTATTCGTTCAGTGTAGCGAAATTTACTCATTGAAAAGAGTTTATGTTACTTTCAATTTTTTCATTCTTCTATAAAATGTTGCTTGAAAATAAACTTCAAGTTCCATGAAAAACATTACCACACTTATAATTAGATCTTAAAAAACCTACACTAGAAACGACTCCTTCCTAGTTACATTCTATTTTTGATAACAACATGATTCGTAAAAAAACTAGTTTCCTTTTCAATATTTCGCAATCTTCTCGTATCTGCAATACAGTGATGCAATTTTGCCCCCCCCCCTCCTCTTTGCAGAGGTATTTTTTTTAATAATTATAATAACATTGTGTGTGTGTGTGTATTGTATTTTCTTGCTAAAGCATATTTTTTGTATCATTTCCTGTCTATCTGGGTGGACCATTTTCTACCTCTAAGCCCTCAAGTAGATGAGTTCCATCTTCTGAATAAATAAATAAACAGCTACGGATACCTAATGTGGCGTTTTGTAGGCATTACGTTTCTGCTTCCTTTTAAAGTCAGGAAGTACTCGAGCACATACGCAAAAATATCTTCATTTTCATCACAGAAGAATTCCTAATTATTAATCAAAAACTTTCATTTTAGCCAAATATTATTTTATACACTCTGCTCTCAAAAAGTATAAACATCTTTTTAAACATTAGAAATAGATATAAATTTTTTTAAATAAACCAAAATATCCATGTTGCTGACAAATATCATTATCAATTCATTTCCAAAATTATGTTAAAATGCATTTCCTGTTTCTAAATGTTCTATGCTCTTCTATAAAAAAAATTATAGATATATCATTTCTAAGAAAATGAAACATTTGTAGCTGGTAATTACTAAGGGTATCAGACAATTAAAGGTATAAACATGAATATTTCAAAATGTGGCCATTTCATATATACACACATGTTTCTTAGAAATTAAAATATTTTATGAATTTATATGGAGTGATACACTATCTAGGAATAAGTAATGTGAAATCTATGAGAAGGTTTTCCAAATTCAATGGTCTCAATTTTATGCTGTAAATCATTCTTGTGTGTAAATAAACGTAATAAACTAAAAAATAACAAAGGACTAAATAAAAGTATACTAAAAAATAACCTAGAACTATTAATAAATATGTAAACAAACACTGCAAGTAACCGTCGGCTTAGCACACTAATACCAAATAACACACATACTAAACTAAAACAAAAATTATGCTAAAAAAATTATTAAAATGAATTCCTACCTAATTATTAAACAAGGATAATGCAAAATCTTAATAAAAATAAAGTTTCAGAAATAAACTTCATAAACAAGATATAAGCAGTTCAAGTATAGGAATGTCACACACTAAAGCAAAGGTCAGGGAAATGTTTGTATACTCGTCACGTGATTCTAACTTGGCGCCGACTAGTCGTGAATTGACCCCATTGTATTGGATAAATTATAGAACTAAAATTATGGATACAAAAAAGAAACCTAGTGGTGCGCAAACAACGCCAAGAAAGAGAAGATAGTAAATAAAATTTGTAGCTTTGTACATTTAAAATATTCACATATTTTTGCTTGATAAAATCCAACCAAGATAGTGCCCTCATTTTATTTTGCACCAGGACCTTTGGATACCTAAAAATGACAAACATATCGATTATTTTATTCAGTTATTATCTTCCGACTAATAAATCACTTTCTTATGCTCGAGAACTAGATGATAGAAAAACTTCACGCTTCCAGTTTATCACCGGCTCACTTCTTGTGAACTTTTAGAAAGGTGTGTTCACAGAGGAACACAATATTATATAAGCTTTGATTTGCATTTTATTTAATCGATCAAAAGAGATATGTGTGAAAAGAATTTGTTGTAATTGGAAACCAGTTGTGAATTTTTGACAAAAAGGACTTTGTGAAGTATCTAATAAGCCCAAGAAACTCAGTCAAGAAAAATGCTCGTATGATCTTGGTTCAATGCTTGAATCCCGTAAAAAATTACTCAGAATTAGATTTTTAAAAAAATAGCATAAACTTAAATTGACAAAGAAAATAAATTTAAAAAGAGAAATATCAATTAAGAAAAGGAAGCAGGAAAGAAAGCATATAAAGCAACCTATTCCTAAGGTCATAATGTAAACTTTTTCAATACATGTAGAAATTTAAAATTAATATAAAAATTTCTTAATTTGAACTCTTATTTACATCATATGTTTATCATATAAATATATTATTTTGATAATATGTGAAATAAAAATTTTAAAATTCATGTTATTATATGTAATTTTTTTTATTTTACATTTTTTAAAAATTTTCTTGTTAGTCATATACTTTCAAAATAGCTTATGTCTTAAAATGGTATTTTAAGTTAATTGAAAATTATAAAATAAGTATTTTTAGAATCATACTTTACAACTGTTTTTTCTCTTTGTGTTTTTTCGATACATTAAAACGCTACTCCTACCACAAATATTTCCCAACTACTCAACAACTCTTTCATGTGTGTTGTACGCAATTTATGTAACTAAGTTAGGAATCCATTTCGCAATAAATATGAATAGTTTTTTTAAAAATTAAAATGAAAAGCTTATTAGGTCTTTTGCTGAAAAAGTTTTAGCATACATATCAACATTTTATTTTTTTCTCCTCCAAAACGAAATAAGTTATTGCGAAATAGATCACTAAAGTTGCTTAAACATTCTTAAGAATATTATAAAAAATCTTGTCGAAAAATTAATAAATACAAAAAGAGTAAAAATTAAAAAATGTCCAAAAAAATATTTAAAATTTTTAAAAAATTTAATTTTTAATATTGTGTTAACAATAAATACGAGATTAAATCTCAGCTCATTTGCTTAAGTAGAAACATTACATAAAATGCTAAACCATAATTTTTAGATACAGCCGGCTGGGTGGCATAGTTGGTTTGGCGCTGGCCTTGGACGTCAAAATTTGCTGGTTCAACCCCGGCCCAAGTTGGTAGATTTTCATGGCGTAAAAAATCTACAGCGTCCATTATGCGGCATGTAAAAGATCCCTTCAGTACTTGTTGGCTTGGGTGATAAAAAACTAAATTCCTACTTCTTCGCATCATCAGGTGCCTCCCTCTAGAGAGGAAATTGGGCCTCAAAATTATTTGCGGCGTTTAATATACCACCTATATGGTGTAGCAATTAAAAGAGATACCAGCTACTGGGAAATGTTCTAGGTCTGCATTGGTAAAATACCAGTCCGCAGCTCTATTGGAAATAAAAAAATTTGGATACATAAATAAAGTAAAATACTTAAAGGGCCCTTAAATATTTTAGAAGAAATTTTAATCATAAAGAGAAGTCTGAATACATATGAAATTTAGTTGAAGTCATGTTTTTATTGTAATGGACTCTTTATGTGTTGATGCACGTTAAATCAGTAGAGGCTCAAAGTTCTGACCTTGGCATGGTGTGGAGAGAGAGAGAGAGAGAGAGAGAGAGAAGTTAGTTAAGGGGAGTGTTAGCTCAGGAGTTGACTTGATCTCTTCAGCGTGATTAAAAATTACGTTGTTAATAAATAAGCAATATCAATGAATCAAAAGAATACGAGCTAAAAAAATGAATAATTTTTTTTTAATTTCAGAAAGTTATGAATATTTTTTCTAATAGTTATGATACAAATACGTATTAACGATAATCCGCATTGATCATTCGTCCTTTTCTTAAAAATATCAAAAAATTTACATATTTTGACAATTGGAGTCCTTTAAAATTTATAACCAACGAAGTCTTGTTCCATTGATTGATTGCTTATTTTAAAACCCAATTTGCACGCCAACTTAAGGGATCCTGGACGGGTGATAATCGGGGCTGGAATGTTGCGGGATGGGCGTCTCGGTACGAGCTCCCAATGGTGTGATGTGAGCTTTTATTAACGTCACATTTTGAAGAGACTCTAGGCAACGAACCAATATGTGCATGAGAAGACTTTTCAAGTGACTGCAGTTCAATAGTACGAGGTGCATTTTCTGTGTTTGAAAAACCTCGCAGAAATAGACTTCCGGAAGCATTAATTGACATACTCGAGAGGGGGCTTATTAGTATGGGGAAAAACTAGAGTGTTTAAGTTTTTTTTTTTTAAATAAATGAAAATAAATCGTATTTATCTAGATTAGTAAAGCCGACATATATTTTAACACTTTTAGCATTGGTTAACTGATAGTAAATACATTTTCCCCGTTGAACATTATAAAATACATGGCATAGTTTGTGATATTCAGTAAACCTTGGGCACCATCAAGAAATGGAAGTGCCCCTCATAGCCTTTTCATTACCTTGTTTGATTTTGAAAAACTGAATTTTTAAACTAATAATATAAGCAGCACGAGGACTATTGTGGCGATGGACCTCATAATTTCCAACCACTGTCAAAGGACGCGGACGACACCTGAGTTGTAACTTTTCCTCTCCTAACTTATACACCCCCCCCCCACACACACAACGAGAGGACTTTAAGCTTCGACAGATTTTACATACATCAACCCCTCTACACGACGGATCTTCAGTGGCACAAGGTCTCGAACTCATAGCCCGTCTGCTACGTGTTCCACCATAGCCGCTAGGCAACCTCGGCCTCCGATGGGGTGTGGAAATTTGGAGAGGTAGCTCAGGTGTCTCAAAATTACAAGGTCTATTGTCCTCTTGTAATTTTAAAGTGCGACTTGAATGGGGTCAATTTATGTGACGTTATAGTCACATGATAATGATAACCACGTGATTCTAGCCAATCAGTTCAAAAACTCGCGCGATGTCAGAGTCACGCGATAAAAGCTTCTTATGTTTCCAGCTCATCAGTTCACGCGCTTTGTTGTTGCCAACGTTTGCTCTTTGCAGAAACTTTCTCTTAAAGTGCATTTTATTTGAAAGTATACGCATAAATAAGTTTTTTTTTTAATTCTAAAAAATCTTTTTGAAGAAATCTTTTTTTTGTTGTTGTTGTAACATTTAAACATATTCATTCAATTATGACATTTGAAATTTTATCCAAGTTTCGCAAATAGAAAAACAAGCAGGATTAGTTTAATGTTTGTTTTGAATTCAATAGAGAACACGTGTTTGTATTTATCATGTGACTGTCATGAATTGAGCCCATTAAAACAATCAATCAACTGAAGATGAGATAGTTAAGAAGCTGGATATCACATAACGGGGAGGAGTCAAAGATCTTCGTGTATTATCCGAGCTACAGACGAATCAATCAGCAAATTTAAGATTTTTACATTGGTTAACTAGAATTGAATTACCTTAAATATTTCTTAAATGTAATCTAAGAACATTTTTATTAAAGATTTTAACAAATATTTAAAATTGTTAATACCACAAGTGCCCTAATTATGTTTTATTTAAATGCAGTATCTGCGATGAGATTGATTCCTACATTTAGGTACAAGAATTCCGTAAGCTGTACACCTGTGCTTCTCAAACTTTCAACACTTGCGACCCAATATTCAATCCTATTTTTCATCGCCCCCCCATACAATAACAATGAATTAAATTCAATAGTACTATACTTTGACGCTAAGCCTACTACACGTTTTTAACCTCTTAAGTTCCACCGGCTTATATAAACGTCTCGCTCAGCGAGTGCGTTAATTTCTCCGAACGTATATATACGTCTTTTCGAAGTACGATCTTTTCAGCAAACTTCTATAAAATTATTCCGAAGGCTTTGGAATGCAATAAAATGACCTTGACAGTGTTTACGAAGAATTTACTTATTTCAGAAAATTTGCTTATTTGTTCCCCTCCCTTCCTTAATGCAGCACATACGTTCGCCTACGTGTTAAACGGAGGCATTGGGAAGGGCATGACGTAATTTTTTAATCGGCATTTAAGGGATTAATTATAAACTGCACAAAGTAACAAGATAAGTGTTCATTTTTGCGTATAATTTTATATATGATAAATCCATGCTGTCACTGATAATTATTAAACTTGTTCTTAATTTAGTATTGTCATAAATTAATTATAAAATATACATTGCGCAGTACTGATATATATAAATGTTTTACAGCAGTGTAAACGTGTGTTTTATTTTTTATTGTGTCCGAATGTATTTTGTTTGTTTACTTTCAGTAAATTAATAATTTTTTAAAACTATCTTTTTTTTTCGACTTTTTAATATGTTTGCCCCCCCCCTCGTAGTATTATAACCCCCCCCCACCCACCCAGGGAAGCGCGAACCACAGTGTGAGAAACACTGGAGTATACCATTTGGCGTTTTGGAGACCAAATTGATTCGTAATGAATATGAATTTGTCTTACAAAAATTATAATTTAGAATGACAAAACTTTTTTTTTATTCGACTTAGTGGACCTACTGGGGGTTACTGACTATCAAAGAGTTGGTATAATAGTTTCAAGCTATTAACAAAATTGTTTATTTCAGAGAAATGGCATCCTGGCAATTATTCATCCTCATCGCATTCATCTGTCTTCTCGCAGAAGCTGTCTCGAAGCCCTACTATACAGTAGCTGTTTACGAACACAACAGATACATAAATGAAAGTGGCTCACCAAAACACATCATCAACAATAACTTGGCCTTTTACATAAAAGCCGCTAAAATCGCTAAAGAAAAAGTAAGTTGGCTGCATTTTTTTTCATTCCAAAAGCTATGATTTTTAGAGTCTAATATTGAATACCTAGCAAAGTACGAGGTATAATGTCATAGACACAGACACTAAATGAGAAGCATCAATAATGGATATGAGTTCATCAACAAAAAAGATTCATTGTACAGTAGAACGTCGTTTATCCGAATCAATTGAGACCGGACACCGTTCGGATACGCGATTGTTCGGATAACCGAAACCGAATGCGATCCGTGTAGTATATGATATTGGACACTATACAAATATTGAAAATTATCCCATGCGGGAAACGTACTTGAAGAAAAAGCAAAATAGGTGCAAAATGTAGCAATTTTACCTTTATTGTGGAAAATAATCACTTATTTTTCGCTGTACCATTGTACACCTTCGTTTTTTTTTTTCCTGCAAGGTCTCTGATTCTCTTGAGCAGCAGTAGTTGAGTAGGACAGCACTCTGATTGTTATTCGTACCACTCCATAGCTGTCTTAAACGCAGAATAAGTGTCAGAATTTGATACACCCTTGCTACTTTCGTTCCGTTTCATCGTCGACAGGGCCGGATTCTTCTTAAATGGAAGTCACAATCTTGTCATCAATTAGCATTTGAAATCCACACTCTTCTGCATAGCATGCCATCCAGGTTTCTACATCAAGAAAACTCAAAAAAAGAGCACGAATGCACCCCCATCACTTGGAAACAAACTGACCTAATATTCCGCGCAGATGTTTACCAAATCACACAGCTGAAATTACAAAAGTATCCCTCACCTTGTGTTTTTCCATCACTTTTGGTCACACAGGAAACAAATGTTGAGCATTGCGCTGTTCGAAAACGTATCCGGACTTTGGTTCAGATATTGGACGCTCCGGATAATAAATGTTCGGATAAACGACGTTCTACTGTATTCAGTTTTATAAGGCCTGAACACCTTCAGAGCGTGGTGCGCTGCAGATTGTCAACAAAAAAATAAAGTTTCTACTTACATAAACATTCAGACGCCCAGTGGCGTTAACAATTAGAAATTCTTAAGGGATTACGGTATAAATTTTGATTTCACATTTGTGAAGACCCAGGTATATTATCAATAAACTTTTTAAACTGATAAATATCCATATAAATATGTTATTACTTGTTTTAAGAAAACCATTATAAAATAAAAATGTCAAGAAAGGAAATTTTGTATTACATAATGTGAGATTGCAGTAAAATGAAGGATTTTATGGACAAATACCTTTTATTAGACATTAAAAAACACTCCGCTCATAAAATATTTTTATCAAAATTATCAATCCGTTTTTTTATTAAAAGAATTCTTAAGTCTATACAATAAATGCTTATCAAAGAAAAATTGTTA